AGTTATGCAATTGAGGAAGGCTGTTTCTGTAGTCCAAAAACGATTTATACATCAAACGTAGTTGTACAGTGCTATGATGTAATGCGTTGCTGGCTAACAAAGAATGTTTTTTAGAAGTGAGCGGCATTGTGACAGAACGGAAACCGAATGAGGTAGCTCAGCTGAACAATTTGCCATTCGTGGATCGGGATGTAAGGCCAGTGATAGGTATAAAAGCCCGATTATTTCTGTATTCTCTACCAAAAGCTACTGCGATCTCCTCCATTGATTTTATTGAGCGATTTGCCTCATTTGAAATCTTTCAGAAAAGATCCGATGTTGTCATTCATTCTACTCTCCTCGACATTACTAGTGGACTCTGCATGGGCTGCAATCACCGATCTGAATTGTACCCATATTGTAGCAAATACTCCGAAGGTACGTTGTACTTAGTTCTTGCTTGGGGAAAGCATCCTTAGTGTAGGCCTGAATAGTTACGGCGACCCACAGCAAAAAACGAATATTCGTGAGCTCAGTGGCTAACTGGTCCGTTGTTCGCTTCGGGGATCCTCCTATGTCACAACGGGGCTTCTATCTGGTCGCTGGAGAGAGGGAGCCTCTCTATCTCGTATCTCCCTGAGAAAAATTTCCTACTGATTTTCCAATCCCGTGCGCTGCGCTCTATGCACCCACCCCTGGCGGTGCCGCCAAACTACTCCTTCTGATAGATGATAGTATCTTTACCACTCCCTCCCCTCCCAGTTCGACCGGAAGTCCTGGGAAAAGTTGGGAGTGTGTTAGATATGACGTAATGGTGATGGTGTTAGAGATGTGGGAAGGAAGCCGTATTTCGAAAAATTCTCCACAACGTGAGGCTGCCTTCATGCTTTGCGGCACCGTTGACCAACGTGAACCAGCGTTCACTAGCGTTCGAGCGTCCAGCAGCCAGACTAGGAATGTTTAGATAGATGTAGCGTCTGCCAGCGTCTTCCAGCGTCCACCGCGTTCACCAGCGACTGGGAGTGGGTGAGAGAGCACGGGGAAGTAGGAGGGTAGCAAACAGCTGGACTAGGCGTCATGAAATTGCGGCGTGTGCAACCGTACCGCACAACTGCTTAAGCAGAATTCATGCAATTCAATGTACGGTGTAGTGACGGACGCATGAGGATCTTCACACTCTAACTCCAAGTATGCTACCTTGCTTATCCCCATCCTCTACTCCGCTCGCGGGCAACAGTGCAACACTGCAGACGTGCAACACTTGACGCCTAAGTAGAGATATCTATACTTCCAGTCGCGACCGGCTGCCGGACGCGCAGAGCGCTAGATAGATGGCAGGTAGAATGCTTGCGGAAGTTGAAGCATCCATGCTTCCGCTACGCTGTTGACCTCAAAATTGTTGCACGCGCCGCGCATTCGCGACATGGATCTCCTGACCCAAATCCATGTAAACCTTTCAGAAAGCTTGTTGGTCGATGCGCTCCCACTTCATGAACTTAATTTCGCCTAGTGTGCAGAAAATACTCATTTTCGGGAAAAGCAAAGCAGCGAGCATGCCCAAACCTTGCAAACCTTATTCATAGGAGGCAAATTATACAATTTTCGGGGTATAAGGCGCAGCTGGCCTCAAACCTAGCAAATAACGTGTAGATAGGAGAGCAGCCGGAGCGGCTTTTTCCACTTTAATGCTATCCCAAGCTTGCAACAGTTGGTGGCGAAATATGCCCTGGCTGCGCTGGGATCTACCCATGGCCCTCGTTTGCAGGTATAGCGAGTGTAAGTATGATACGGCTGATTTTGAGTGGTCCTGATGAATCGGTGCTCTTTTCAGTACGCTCCATCGGCAGTGAACTGCCAGAACAAGCTATCGGACGCCAGCTGCACCCTGCTCTACACAGCTGCAGTGAAAGTTGATACCGATACGGACCGAGATCCAAAATGCGGGGTACTCGCAGGACCACCTCCATCTACTGTAAGTAAAAGAACAATGTTAAATGGTGATAACGCTGTTCCGGCTCGTCATTCCCAGGGGTGGGGGAGAGGAATATTCTGCACAGTTGCTACTTGCCATGGTTTTTCATATGCTCTACGAGTACTGACAGGTGTTCTTACAAGCTAGCAAGTAGTCCCAACGAACTTTGCCCGGGGTCACCTCACGCTTCACATGATCACACAAAACACTTTTTTGATGGCTCGACACGACAAAAGGGAAGGAGCGAAAGATGAAAATGTCCCTTTACCTCCCCCCTCCCAAGCTGAACTGCCAGAAGAGCTTCGCCGCAATCGTCATCCTATGGCTTAGAATACTATCAATGGTGGCTTCCTATGTATTCCGGCATTACAGACATGGTATTTCAGTCAGAGTTGTGGGCCTCAGCCTCGATCAGACCACGTTGTATGTACGTTGAGGAATCCTAGCGAAGGATTCGTATTCGGTCGCTGGGGGGAAGGGTTGGTCATAATGGTCCGAAATTTATTTGAAAGTTGATTTGTCTTGTTTCACAGACGCTTTGATGTGGGGGGGGGTCGTACTTGCTCGTTATTTGGAGAGGTGGAGCCGTTTTTGCTTTTGAGAGAAATTTCCTTCGGGAAATATTTCCACCGGTGGCTGAGTTTTCGCGGTTTTTCCCGTTTCACTTGTGCAGCGCTGCCTAGTTGGTGCCGTCGCCAAAATTCTATTCAACAACTATTTCTGACAAATGGAATTCTTGATTTGTTGCTGGCAACCTCCTCCCCCCCATCCTCGCTCGACAGCTTCTGATGGAAAGAAACTGGAAATTTTCTGAGAACTCTTGGAAAAACTGGAAAAAGTAGTAGGAATTCAGGAGAAAGTAGTAGAGAATTTAGGAGAAAGGTAGGTAGGGATGGTGAGGAGGGCTAAGAGGAGGGAATCGATGGGGGAAGGATCATTTCTCAAAAATTTTTTCCTGCGGCAGGACGTGACCTCGATATATACATCGAATAGAGATTTTACTATACTTAATGACCGTTTTCGAAGCCTTCAATTTTTACACACGTAAAAAACCATTTAAAAAACTGCAGAGGAGCCCGTGGTGATCTCGGTAGGCTGACAAGTCAACTGAAGCAACTGCGGTCGCCCAGGTCTCTTCATCTGTAAAGGAAATCGGGAATAAATGTTCAATAGCCTATTTCACTTTCAGATTCCTGAACTTGTTCGAACGGCGATTGATCTCTGTCCCCAGTTCTGTGGCTCGTCGCGCACACCCGCCTTCGCGTGCCAAGATAAGCAGCGTGAGTTTTAAATGGCTGGCTCTATGGAGTCCTAATTCGATGCGTCCTAGTTGAGTCCGAAGAACTCTCTGATTACAGCGCCCAGGAATCCCGGCGCGTCGGAGTGACACCGGAGAATGTGCAGACATCCTGCGAATTCTCACGGCAGAGCAACGGCGTCTTTGCGCACAGTTGTTTTGTTTTACTAACCGATAATTGGTCTAGGGTCGTTTAGTCCTTGTTTCATGAGTGCCGGTGACCTTGGAGGGGGCACTTGAAGGACTCTTTGTGCAAAACTAGATTAACAGCACTGCTGTGAGGGCTCTTTCTTGGAGCCTGCATGCAGAAGGGAACTTCGGGGTCGATATTCACACAGGGGTACTCTACTTTGTGCGAGATTGTCGTCGGTAATGCCTTTACTGCAGGCATTATCAGGGAGGAACTCACTTCCCAAACCAACAACTAGAAATATTACAAGTACACATGGTAGTTTGGTTTGGTGGGGGCACCACGTGGCCACAGTGAGGTTACTACAAGCCACCCAGTGAAGCTTCCTTCAGCTAAAGTGGCTCGCTTGCACTATTCAAGCTCCCCAAAAATTTTCAGATGTTAACCTGTCCCAGCAAGAGGGACAAAGGCAAAATATCCCCTCCAAGCCGGACCGCGAAAATAGGACATTTCTTGTCAAGCCAGCTAGTCTCCAATGAGCTATAAAGCTCACGATCGGCTGTTTGCCGGACACCGATGCCGCTCTAGACCTACCCTTGGGTATGGAAAACTCTTTTCCCTACTTGGCGCTATGCTGAGGGCCAGCGCTATTGTTCATTACCATTACTGCGCAAAGGCCTAGCAAGATGCACTCCATTGTGGCTTTTCTGTTCATCACAGTGATGGTGATAAATTTCCGGTGATTGCGTCGATCTGGCACCTAACTGCGGTCTGGACGGCGGAGTTATTTGCCATAGCACGGCTCTACAGGAGTTTACTAAGGTGCGTAAATCTCATGATCCAAAAATCAATACTTCCAAATATTCGAGCAACCTGAACTGAAAATATTTTTTAAGAAAAACTGTAGGAAGACGTGCGGATACTGTACCGGCGGCTCAACGAGCACGGTAGCACCGGGTAAGTGATTTCACAGCTTCACTTCTCCTAGTGGTAATTATTCTACTCCTTGGGCAAGTACTTTATTGAGGGCACATCTCACAATTATCTGGGTCTTCTTTTCAAGTATAACGAAGAGAGCCAGCATCTGTAGAGGGTGTATACTTACGGCGGCTTGAAGGCATTTGTTGAACGGGCTGTGAGCTTATGGCGTAGGGCTGTCCACCAGGGCGCGTCCTGACGGCCACTGGAGAAATTTCTTTCCCGTTGGATCCGATCCCCCCCCCCACTTTTCTCCGTTATTGCGACCTCCATCCACAACCGACCCATCATCTTCCCACATTTTGCCGAAAATTTGGAAAAATCAACAGTCAGAAAAAGTGTTGCCAGGGCAAATACGACCTCCCCTCCCTTCTAGCCAGCCTTCCTGTCTACCAGCAAGAGGGTTGAGCTGAACACTTGTTGAAGCGCCAACTTGTTTAATCAGTAGATGTCGTAAGAAGGACCAGCAGAAAGCTTTAAGAGATTAGGTTTTTTCAGCCGATACAACATTGGATCACATGCTCTTCGCTCTCGTGTCCTTACTGGTTCAGTCGAAATGCTAGTCTGCTGGAGGAGAATGTTGCCAACCCTTAGGAATTTATTTTGGAGGATTAGCGAGTTTACTGGGTGTGGACGAGAACCCTTATTTCTCCGATATTGAGGCCCTGAAAATTCTTAGAAGGCGGACAGATCACCATTGCCGCGTGCTACGAAGGAGTAGCATGTTAGAGTAGTCCAGTTTTTTGACTGCAAAGGGTAAGGGCACGATAACTTAGAGTAATTACTCAAAAAATGGCCTAATGAGGCTGCCATTGTAGTGAGAGAAACAATGAGCCAAGTAGCGAAGATTAAGGCGGGTTAAAAAAAACTGCCGCAAACCTTTGTTCAGCACGGAACTGGACATAACGTTTTTGCGAACGAGTTTCCCCGGAGGGGCATCGGTACCCTCAACGGGCTGTAACAGTATTCATATATCCATGCAGCAACACTTCATAATAATTGTACTTGTTAATAAAACCATTGTCGATGTGACCGTGCGGCTATTTGTGGGCGGGCGGTTGCGATGGGCATCTAGATCGGCATGTTAGATCGTTGTGGGCAGGTTAGACCCTATTTGGGCGCTATAATGGTGCCCTTGCTTTGGGAAGGCGCCACGCATAGCCTACTGAGAGACACAATTTCCTATCGTGCTTGGAGTATAGATCCTGTAGGCCTTGTCAATTTATCGTGCCACTTGCCTTCGAAAGGACGGTCCCAGTGATACCTCCCTTTCTCAGTGACTCCGCCCCCAGACTTCTCCTTCGAAGTCCACCTTCCGGCGGAACCCAATATATCTTTCAGGGTCGAAGGGTTCGTTATGAAGAACGACTGAATTCTTCCCAACGCGGCATTGTTCGGCTGTACTCGAACAATAACCTTGAGGTTAGAGGGCTCCTATTGGAGACAATCTCGACGTTCCCGACGTTCCCTTTTGAATTTTCACTTCACAAATAAGTCCTTCGGCAACTTCTCTTCATTATTTCACGGCACGGCACGTTGACTGGGGGCGTACGGTTACTGCCGATCCCATTGGTGGCAGGCCTGCGACTGAGCGCTTGGCTATACCCCATCCAGCCCTTCCACCAGTGACGTTGGCAATGACCGCCCGCCCCTACCCATCACGCCCACTGCCTCCATTTGGCAGTTAGAGGATTTTGAACAAGTGCAAGCATTTCATAATAAGAGAAAAATGAGTATACCCACTGTACACGTTATCTCGTTTGGCCTCTGGGAGCCATTCTGAAGGAACTATGCCCACAGCTTTTCTCTCTTCACTCGCCTTTCACTTTCATTTTGCTTTTCATTTTGACTTATTCATTTCATACTGGATTCAATTCTGGTATATCCTTCTGTTTTCTCTTTCTATTTCAGCTGTGCACGCTGGAAGCAAAATGGATTCTGCAATAGCACATTCTACTCGCCGACATATATAATGGAATACTGTGGACGTCCGTGCGGCCTTTGCTAGGAAAGGAACGCTTTCACATTAACTGCAAGCCAAATTTGCTTCGAATATGTACCTACATATGTATGATTTGTATTTTGCAGCTTTCCAAAATAAACCAAGTTTTCTGTAAACAGTGAAGTTGCATCGCTATTCCTGTTTGTGCTCTAGCTCTTTACCGCCTTCCTAGGGTATTCAGAAGTCATTTGTGAGAATAGTTAGGGATAGATAGGGGGGGATAGTTACAATGAATTGGGATAGATAGGGAGCCTTGTTAGTGATGTCGAAATGCGGAAGAAAACTCGCTGAGGGACTCGTCTATAAAGAGAAAATGGGAAACGAAACCTCAAAAAATTGCCACTAGGCGGAATATCTAGTCTCCCGAGCGAGTAAAAGG